GGGGCTGTAGCCTGCCTAGGCTGCAGCCCACAGAGGCTACACCCAGTCTAGGTAGACTGAATAAAACGGCTGTGAAATGAGATGGTCTAGTCTACGYATGTTTGCGTGGCCAAGCACTGCCCTGTTACAACAGTGATACATTTTACATCACGTCTTCAGAGTTAAATTGTATTGGAACACGTTTTCACACATCTTTTCACTGGAGGAATAACTTGACAATTAAAAACGTTACTCGTAAATAAACATTGATAATTTGGGTTTAGCTTCACTGTCAGTACTTGTATTCAACACAAATTTTATCGGACACCTTTAGGTTGATAAACATAGATTCTTTGACGAATTTCCAAACTATGTAAAATTCTCACTTGTCTTCGTTTTACTGTTTAGTTTGCTGCCAGCACAATGAATCCTGGGATATCATCAGCCAGAAAGGATACTCAGATGCAGCCCTCATTTTTGGGGTTTTGTGGGTCGCATTCATCGGAGCCCACGAATTGGGACAGCCTTCGGTGCAGGGYAGTGACGTAAGCGGCGGACAAATGCGGACTTTGAAGGATGCAGCCCCTGAATTGAGACACAGCCTGTGTGTGTCAGAGCCAAACGTACTGTATGTGTTCGTCTGTCTGTCCTCTCTGTGTGGATGTGTGCGCATGGGTGGCAGGCCTGTCTTGAAAATGCCAGAGTCTGTTTCTAATCCAAGCCTCCTCTGTGGGTTGCAGCTCTAGCTGTGCCAGGCCTGCTGCAACACGAACACGAGTCCCAGCTGAAAGCTAGGCTGCTCCTGTTTCTGCTCTCTGAACAATCTCATGAGCTAAAAGCCTTAACGAAGGGTTAAGCTGGGAAATGAGCGCAGCCAAGCAACGTGAGCATGCAGCCATCGCATGGATTGAGCATTCAGTTTGTCAGTGGGATGTCTTGAACCAAGGGAAGATGACAGACACTGAAAATCATTTGCTATGACAGTTCATGAAAAGAACAAAACAAAAAGGAAGTCGTAGTAATGGTGTAACRCTAAAGCATGGAGGTTATTAGTAGCAGGTCTGGGATGAAATCAGAGCAGTTCAATTGGATTCACCCTTTTTAAAGAAGCAGAGCTATGAGGAGCCACTGAAAAGCCCTTCAAAACGAAAACATCAGCAGCTGTCAGTGTCAGTCTTCAGTGCCACGTGTGATGGAAAATCAATCTATATTATATCACAGACCTGTGATGAGAAAAGGAAGAAAGACAGGTGCTTGCTGCCTCCTTGCTGAGTCTCTTTAACTCCCACCCCCTTAAACAGAAACATCCCTGAAAGCTCTGCGTCATCAGTGACGGAGGAATTCACTATGCTGTTGGCTCGATGTGTAACGGCTGCTGTTCTGCTAGATTAGGTAGGTGATTGGCCATTAATATTCATTTCACAGTGCGTCTTTGTTAGACGGCAGGGAGGGCTGACAAGAGTATTTGGAAAGACTTACTCTACCGCATAGACCATGAGACAAATAAAGTTTGTCTTAAATGTATATTTCCTTTAATGCCTACAGGGAAAAAGTGGTGTCCCCATAGGTTCTAAGTTTCCCAGTAGTTAACTTAGCCTGAGCCTAGTCTGACTGGATGGATTTGTGTTTTTACAGCAACAATAACGATGATACAGTGATCCCATCTGGCCCCGTCTGGGCTTAATCACAGCAGACAGTTCCTCCAGGAGAAGTGGAAGTCTAGTAGGTATACAACCAGAGTAACAGGTCTTTTCCCAATGGACAGCAGCCTGGCACAGGTGATCTGAACTGCCTGCACATAATGAGATTAAGGGACTAATTAGACTGACCGTGAGTTGTGGTGTGACCGGATTTGCTCGGGAATATTCACCCACTATCATAGCAGCAGTGTGGCCCCTGAGAGACTGAGCATGTCATTTCTAATGCCCTGCCCTCTACTAATTAATGAACTGTTATATATATANATATATAATAGTTTTAGACTTGATGTTTCCAGTGTCCATGCTTCATGTAGCATTCTTACTCTTGCAGGCAAATACCGTATTCATTCATGTATATTACGATCTCATGTATAATACGACCCCCCAATTTGTAGCCTAAAAAGCATAAAAAAATTAATTCTCATACTACCTCTAATTTCATATGGACTTCAGGATTTTTCAGCCTTTGCAGTCTTTATATATGTAAGACAGTAAAATTATCATTTGACTGTTGTATCAGTTTTTAATTTTATTTTTGAACATATGTACTAAAAGGTACACAACAACAAATGTATAACTACAAAAAAGCTATCAATGTTATGATTTGTGTCTGTGTTAATGTTTTATTTTAGTTTCTGTCTTGTCATCTGTTTTCTTCCTCCTGTCTGCCTTTGCTCCAGCCCTGCCCACTCTCACCTGCTCCTCATGTTTCTCTCCCAGGTGTTTCCTGTTTGTGCTCATTAGTCTCACCTTTATATTCTATGTCTTGTCTTCACTTCCCTGTCTGATCAYTGTGCTGTTCACAGCCTGTATGTTTCTTCTATGTTATGATTTGTGTCTGTGTTAATGTTTTAAGGATACATATCTGAGTCCTTAAAAYATTAACACAGACACAAATCATAACAATCAATGCTCATTTGTTAACTGGTGTGATATAACAAACAGATAGAGCTATGTGGCTCTAAAAAGTGTGGATGAAGCTGAATCAAAGCCTTCAAAATCAGGCTCACCATCAGTTTCATTAAAAGTTTATGGTATTCCTCCTCTGTAATGAAGGCATATCAGAATCCCACTCAACAACAATCTCATGCTCTGTGTCTCRCGAGCGCCCCGCTGGTGGGGAAACTTTTTTCAGGTAGACCAACTTTTACAGAACACCGGTAGACGGCAGCCATTACAGCCGACCATGTGTTTGTTGTTGTTCCAGGAGCGGCCTGGTCGCACACTAATATCATTAGTTCGTCATGCAGGACTGCCTTTTTTCTTCTTTTTCTTTTTTTTCACATTATGTTGCCTGCTTGGATCTTTTACTATCTCACTCAGAGGCACAAAGGAGTGGTAAATGAGAGGTAAGCTCGCTTCAACTGCTTTTTACGACGTGGTTTCATTTCTGGACTCAGGCAAAAATAGTTATCCGAGCATAGTACTACCCACCTACTTTGTGCATGATTTTATGGATTAAATTTTATGTATTATACTTGAATAAATATGGTAACCACAAAAAAAAAAAAAATATCTAGGCAGTTTTGTCAGTTAATTATCACACAGATTATTGGACAAAAACGACTTACAGCAAATAACCAGTTAAAGCTTGCAAAAAGTAGGCCATGGAGGAGCATCAGCATTACAGTTTAGCTGCCAAAGACAAATCCAGATATGAGAAGCTAAATTATCTTTGCCAGTGATTATTAACGCAGGAATTCAGGCTGGCAGATCAGAAGCAATATGAGAACAAGAGATTTGAAAATGACAAATCAGATCCATCTCCCCTCTTGGTACACTCCCTGCATCAGCCTTTTACTGCTGCCTCCTAACCTCTTAAGTTGTGTTTGATTGGCCCTTAGTGGTGCTCTGACCTGTTCATTTAAGATTATGTACAACTCTCCGATCTGTTCCAGCACTCATTTGTTCCTCAGTGAGATCCTGGCTGCTGACGGGTGAAAGGACCYCACGCTGACCACAGAGCCCTGGGAGCTTTAAAAGTGGCCTCTCACAGCCAAGTAAAGAGACAACTGACCGTCGTTGTTAATGTGGACACACCACACCACAATGGCAAAATCAATAGACCTATAGGGGGCATCAATCTTGACAGTGCAAGACCCTTTTTGCTTGTCTCGATGCACCTCTAAAGCTCCAAGTGGATGGCTGAAGGAACGAAAGGAATGAAAGGAGTAAAATAAAGAGAGAAAGACAGACAGACTGACTGACTGTGATCTTTTATTGGCCTTTTTCTTTGTTCATCCCAGGGGGTTAAGCTGTTCTTTGAAAAATGTGCATCTGACAGACAGCCAAGTAGCCAGCCATCCTAATTCACCCAAAACAGGCAGAGGTTTGGAGGTAAAGCCTCTGAAGTGCTGCACTGCAGTTGCATGCATTTGGCATCATTTTTGCATTTCCGCTTCCTCTGTTTTCCACTTCCAGAGTTCTAATTTGGCCTTCTTTAAATGACAAAAAAAGCCTCTTGTTTTGTTCCCGAGTGACACAACAGATGTGTACTGAAAAATAATAGTTAGGTTTATTGTCTCTGTCACTGACTTGGAGGATGCCTTCTCGGTATATTAACATATATGCAAATAGGCGGTGAGTTAAATGAAAGCCTCAAAAAAAAACAAAAAAAAAAACGGGAGAGATCAAAGATGACAGAATTAAGGCCAAGTAATGAGGATCTTGGCAAAAGCTGTGCAATTTTATTGATTGTTTGGCAGGCTGCTCCATTTCCTCTGTGTTTATACAGTTTACTACACATCAAGCAGTGTGGGCTTTAACAAGGCTGCAGTGTGGATATGACTGTAGGCACAAGTCTAATCACTTACTAATTTACAATGAAATAATAATAATGCACTTGGAATAAGAAACAGGAGCAGAGATGGCCAATTGGTAAGCCAATCACAGCCCAAGATCCCTGCAGTAGCACATTCTTTAATTTAATTCTGTATGTGCACATTTATTACAAGCTTAAAAGTACAGGCAAGCTGAGACTTCGAGGGATTAATCTACAAACCACGAGGATTTTAACCAGTAACAAATGAAAAAAAGGAAGATTATAGATAAGCACTTGAATCTAGATGCCAAATTGGATCGCTTCTGATGTCGCCTTTATTATACATTAAGATACAATTTGGCTTGTCTGCAACAATCAAGTTCCTCCAATTATAAATATAATTGCAACACAACTGTAGTTAAACTGAGACCCCCTCCAACAATCAGCAGATAATTATCATTTAAAGCATGGGAGCAGGTGAGCTCACAGYGAAAGGCTCACTTAGTGTTTTGGGTAGAAGAGGGGAGGGTTGTAAAAAATGATGAAGAAAAGAAGACAACTACCTCCACGACTCTCGCTGTCGGCTGGTTTCACCTGGATGGGGCGAGTCATCTGGAAGAGACAAAATAACAGAGCAAAATAGATGTTAATTGTGATGATTCAAGCTTTAGTTSACGCAACAAGAAGCACAAACCAAAAAAATCAATACTCCAACCTGCTGTCATGCAGAAATACTGATTTGGTGCTGAAAGGCAGTGATGGGCACAGTTCCACTAATTTGCTAACAGCTGAACTATCTTCCTTTTTARCAGATTAGCTTTTTTGCTAACTTTGAAAAGTGTAAGGGGACCAATTAGCTTCCTCTAAATAAGGTTTTGCAAAGTTCACAAAAAAATTCACATGTTAAACTTCTATTATGTCATTTAGCAAATAAAACAAAGCTAGACCATCTTACAAGCAATGCTGGATGTATGGGGCACTGTGTGTAGAATGTAGCAACTTTAGCAGCTAAACTTCAAACTAAGAGCATAAAAACAGAAAAAAAAACAACATTTAAATTATAAATACATAAATTACCTACAAATAAAATATGGTAGAGAAAGTATTTGCTTTTTGTTCAAACAGTATTTATAAAAATACAAACTTGATCAAAGTAAGCCTTTTTTCCTGAAAGGGTTTAAGTGGAAGTATTACAAGTTAGACAGAAATATAACTCTGGTTTGGATTGGCTGATTTGCCACAGATGATCCCACCCACCTTCAAATTAAACCAATAGAAAACAAACAAGTTTGCATCAGTCCCACCAGTCCATAACTGGAAGGAGATGAAGACATGTGACAGTCATCTTAGCGGTTAGTGTTACTTGTAMTAATTTGTTATGTGCTTGGCGAATTAGAAAATTCTTGTTTAGCGGATTAGTGGTTAGTGAATCTATTCTTTCAGTTAGCTGTGCCCACCACTGGTGAAAGATATTTTAAAGCTGTAAAATGTATGTGTGTGTAGACTATATATTTCTATTTTGGAGCGGCTGAAAGGGAGCTAGCAGGGATACGTGTGTGTCTAAGTGAAAAAGGCCAAGATAGTCCTAATAAAAGTGAATCCAGCCACAGGAGGAGAGAGATCAATGCAGGCCTATTGATCCAGGCCCTTGGGCTGTGGAGAGTGTCTGGCTGGGAAGAATTCTCTGGTTAGGAGGCTCACTCTAATCCACTGGACCCTGATAAGAATGGCATTGCCTGGATTAGATGCCTCTGTCATCACAGTCTTTGTATCACGCTCTTCTCACCCAATACAACCTCCTTCTTTTTTTTCATTATTGTTGTTCAAGCTGAACTGGTTCTCCATACTTAGGATCCAATTTATTTTGTGGGAAAAGATGGTCATGAAGTTATTTTTGATAAGATGCTGCTGCACCTTTTAAAATTATGCATCCTAAGTATGTGTTCAGTTTTTGCATTTGCAAATGCATTTCTGTAATTCTGCAGCACAACATACACAGAGCTGATGGTAGCACTAAATCTGCATTTCACCGAATCCAAAACCAAGAGAATGAGCAGTAAAACTTACAGATTTTAATAAATCACGCCCAGAAGTGTCCCAACTTTTTAACACAATTAGTAAAATGTAAGACAAACTCATCACCATACTTATATTTAATAGTAGCTATTAGTTTATTGCCTAAAACAAATTGTTTTTTCTAAGCATCTCAGTAAAACCAGTAAAAGCTATCAGACGTGGTATTGCTTTAGCTACATATGTTTTGACCCTTCTTCCTGTCTTGGACATTCTTTTCTCATCCAATTCCAGAACAGGGATGAAAAGGTCATGTTTAAAGAGAGGGCAATCCAATAAAAGCATGACATGTTCAAGGAGAAACACCATAATGGGATTTTAAAATGTCTTAATAACATGGTGATGTATGGAAGACAGGCACAGGCCCAATTTATTAAGTGCTAAATGTATCAATTTTAACCTTAAGGAACTGAGTAACCTTCCTTGGCTGAAATGATTCCATAAATTTAGTCACCGTAAATAATAACCAGCAGTAGCTAAGTCTTTGAGGGAAAATGAGGAGGATGATCCTCTTGTGAARGCTGTGGTTTCAGCTTCTTGTTTCTTGAGTGGCTTCCCGTCTACTAGTGCTTTCCTCTAAATGTGAGCTACTGTGTGATTTTATAGTATGAAAATGCCAAGCCACAGGGTGCACTGCTCCTCAGCTTGTATGGACAGATTACTGAATTTGCTGCAGTGAGACTGCACATGTTCAAAACTGCTCGTGAGACTGAAGCATTATCAAGTAGGAAGACAAAAAAAATCCACTGATCTTTTTAAAGTTAAAATCCGTTTTATTGGTATTTTAAGTTAAGATGATGAAAGGCGGTGATGYTGCAGAGAGTCACAGTGACTGCAGAGCTGAAACATGGGTAGATATGAACACCGTTGAGACTAGGGGTGACCCAATACCAGTTTTCCTCAAACCGAGTACGAGTATGAGTACTTCAGTTTGGGTACTTGCTGACATCGAGTACCAGTAGTACTTACTGAGTTAGATCTTAAATATCATACAATGACTTTAAAAACACATTTCTTTAATTTCACTGATACCAGTATGGGCATCGGGACACACCTAGTTTAGACTAAGAGCGTTCCAATGAATCATACATTTGCATGAATATATCATAATGCAACGCAAAATACTGATTTTGAATCTATTCATTAGTAACTGGTTGTGTCTCAATTAGGGCTGCCACAAATGATTATTTTAATAATCGATTAATCACCGATTATTTATTCGATTAGTCGACTAATCAGATCATACGTTGATTGAATATAAAACATGCAGCTTATCACATCAGAATGCAGCTGCTATTGTATAACCATCGGTAGATTTTAGCTATATGCTAACTAAAAATAATTGCTGTGGAAGGCAAGTTCTGCTCTGCAGATATTACACAGGTTTCTCTTTCATTTTCTTAAAATGATCCCACACTTTGAGCTCAGTTGTCAGGTAGCCATGATACCAGAGCCTGTCTGTATAATGTSTTGTGACGTCCACGGCCTACCCCAGTTACCACTACTGTGCATGTGTGTCAAGGACAGAAAGGCAGATGTGGCAGTGGAAGGTGTCAAAGC